GGGGATCTTGGAATGTATCCCCCAAGGTTAAGAAGGGACTACTGTACAGCTAATTGTGTATTGTATTTCACACATAATATAAATTCATGTAATGTGACACATTGAATTATATTGCAGAGGAACAATAAATATGCTAAAGTTCTCTAAAAAGCATTTTCTTAAAGCACACGGAAGATTCCACAGCAAGATTAATCCCACTCCGATCTTCGTACACACTGCCCGGATGAGCCTCCTCTTGGCCCTTAGAGCTCTCTGTCTTCACACGGAGGCTAATGGAGTTCTGTTCTCCAGGAGCCCCTGGAGAATCCCACTCAGGAGAGAGCTATTGTCAGCAAATGGGGCAACGTTCTTGTCGGCTAGCAGGCCTCACCAACAGAGGAATTATTTTTAGGACATCGATCTCATGACAGCCAATTTGGAGCGGTAAGTGACCACAGCAAAATCACATCTCTCCACGGCGGCAGGTCAGGTCAGGAAGGATTCATGCAGGTATGGGCCTTGCTGACTGGAAGGGACACATCACAGACCTCTGTTCAAATCCCAGCTCTGCCTTGTCTCAACTGTCACACATTGGGCAAGTGTGCACAGAGCTGTTGTGAAGACGAAAGGAGAGCCCTGCACACAGTGTCTAGGACTCAACAAACACCAAAGTGAGGGTAGCTGGTGTTTACATTACACACACAGATGTGTTTCTCTTGGAAGGTAACATGTTGCACACGGTTTATTCCGAGGGAACGTGTCTGCACTGAGCGCACCTGTAAAAACGCCCTGATGACTAACTGTCCTCGCCTTTCTAACTCCACTGCATCTTGGAGCGGCCTCGGATTTCAATAATGGACAATAAGACCCGCAGAGAAGTCATTCCCAAGGTCCCCACGCTGAGTTAGGTGCCACTTATCCCAGCTCACACTCACCACTGCTCTTGTCGTCATTTCTGTGTCCGTCTCCACCCTGGACAGAGTGCCTGCCCACAGCCGTGTGGCATCTCTCTTGAATTGTCCTCATAGGGCTAGCACAAAGGAGCTGGGCAAATGTTTACTTACTGAACAAAGTTGCCAAATTGTCCCCTGGCTGATGAGTTAAGTGCAAGATTCAGTTTGATTCCCCCCCCAGCCGAGCAAGGGTGGATTTTAACCTGATAAACACACCTGTGTTTAGCACATGGGTGAATTCACTCAGTTCCCATGCTGGTCTTGGAACAGTGTCTTATAGAAATAACAAGAGGAAACTTCAGCACACTGAATGCCCACGGGCACCACACACTGGGGGAGGCGAGGAGGCCGTGCCCACGATCATTTCATCCTCCGCCCTGTGAGGGAGGTAGTGTTAGCCCCATTTTACAGATGAGCAAACTGACATTCAGCAAGTCTAATTTGCCAAAGGTCATGCAGCTGCTAGGTGTTTATCTACACTTGAGACTAGAAAAGCCATTGATGTCTGTTCTAGGAATTAGGATCATTGATGCTGAGAACACTTAAAAATAGCCCTGTGCGTTGTCCCATTCTCTTGAAACAGGTTTACTAATCAGGGACATGGCTGAAAAAATCCAGCAAAATGACTCAGTTCCTAGCAAAATGTCATTTCTCCCCATCACACTGGGACAACCCCAGCAAACCTGCAAGCATAGAGACAGAAAGGGGGGGGCAGAAAAAGGGAAGAAAAGGACGCGTCAGCGCAAAGGCCAGGACGATTTCCTCTCAGTTGCCCTGCAGCCTCTCGGTCAACTCTGGGGGCGCTCACAAGACAAAATGCCTGCTCTAAGTCAAGGGCAGGCTGGAGGGCTCATTTCCTGTCTTCTAAATATACTCTTGTTCCGATGGTATCTCATCCCCTGCGTCACGGAGGATGGCTGCCCTTTACATTGCAAATGTCTCAGGAACTTCTTAGCCCAAAGGAAGCTCTGGTGGAGAAAGCTAGACTTTCTAAACGCCTGCAGGAATAGTGTGCTCAGGCCCTGCTCGACCACTGGGCAGTGGTCTCTCCTGCTCCTCCTCATTCCTGCCCCTCCTCCTCCCCGTCCACCTCCTCCTCCCCCTTCCTCTCCTCCTCCTCCCTCTCCTCCTCCTCAGTCAGGGCACTTCCAGCCCTCAGGGTGGGCAGTAACTGTCCAACAGTGCTGCTCTCTATGAATGTTATCAGAGGAAACACTTGAGGACCAAAAAGCAAACAGAAACCTTTCTACACCTGCTGTCACTCTGCCACCTCCGGGTGCCCCAACCTCGGTCCAGGTGTCCTCAAGGGAGAAAGGGCCCATTCAGGACTGTGGCGGGTGGTTTTTAGGCCAAGTTCCTCAGACATGGCGGAAGGAAAGGAAAGACACAATAGGAGGCGTCAGAGCCTCCTAGGTGGCCTCAGCGCTCAGAGTGAAGCCCAGCTGACACCTGCTCAGAGGTGGCCTGGCTCTGGGGCCTTTGGTCAGGTGGCAAGGCCCTCAGCCTCAGTCAGGTCATTTGTACGTTGGGTTACTAAGAACTGTGACTCCTCATAGGGTTTTATGAGGATGAAATGACATAATGCCCTAAACCTAATGCCTGGCACTAGGATTTGAGAGGCTGTGTTCCCATCCTGGGCCCAGTACATACCCATGATCTCATTTAGTATTCACAATTGTGTCTCCTTTCTTCTCGTGATCAATATTAATATCAATAACCACAGTCCATTTCATTGCTACAGATAGGAACCCAAGGCTCAGAGAGGTGCAGTAACCTGCTCAACGTCACAGAGTTTGGAAGCGGCAGATCTGGAATTCAAGTCCCGGTGAACTGAGGCCCGTCTGAATTCTGCTCCTCAGCATCTGCCCCCAGACAATGGATGCGCCTGGGGGCATGGAGGCAATATTCCCAAGGGAGCAATGGTGCAAGAGGCTGAGAAACAGAGATCGGGAAGGCACCTTTGCCCAGCCTGGTGTAAAAGAATACACCATGACTGCCACTAAGCGTGCGTCTCTATCCCTCGTTGCCTGCGCAGGGCCAGCACGGAGGATCCTGGCAGGGAGGCAGGATGACAAGCACAGATTCTCCTTCCAAACAAGCCAAACCCCCAAAAGACTTAAAGGAACCCCAGGACTCAGAGGCCACCAACTGTGATATTGATCATACTCGAACAGCTGACAATTTCCGCCTACGTGTTGGGACTGCACACATGGTTACAGTGTCTCTAATCATTCCATCCTCACAACAACCTTACAAGGTCGGTCGTATTAACTACTATTATTAGCATTTTATAGATGAAGACCCCGAGGCGAAGAGGAGGGAAGAACAGAGGGGAATTGGTGCAGCCTGGGTTCCAATCCAGACTATCGGGATCCACCATCTGTACTTTTAACCAATTTGCCACTCTGGTTTGTATGATTTTGTTTGATTCTTTAAAGGGTGAGGTGGGGATAGGTTCCAGAGGGCACGCATGGGTCCCACTGTCGTGAAGAGTCACTTCCTGCTGGAGTCCTTCATAACAAGCCCCGGAGGCGCGTGGCCGGGGAAAATCCTACTTCCCCCTTGGGCTCACCCCGGGCCCCGGTGCCGGCCTGGCTCAGCCACGCTGGTGGAAGGGGTTTCCACGGTGCTTCTCCAATACTCCTGGGGCAATCCCGGAATGTCCCCTACACGCCCTGGGACACAGCTCCTTCCCGGGTCTGAAAGAAGGGAAGAGAGGGAGAACAGGCCACAGGTGTGGGAGACCGAGCTTCCAGTGGGGCAGGGGAAATGGAGATATGACTCCGGGTCGGCTGAGAGTCTGAGGGTCCTCTGCAGGCCTCAGGTCAACACCCCATCTCTTCCCTCTGGCCTGCTGGAGGAAGGAGAGCTGTTGAGCATCACTCCTTCTGAGGCCTGTGAGAAATGAGGGCTTATTCACAGAGCTGAGGCAAGAGCCTCAGGATGGGCAATCACTAGCTGTGTGACCTTGGACAAGTCCCTGAGGTCACTGGCACTGGATAGGAAGTGGTTAAGTTGGTATCTTAAAACCATTCCTTCTGGAGAACAGTCAACACATGTGACTTCAGACCATCTTCCACCTCAGGGTGACATCACCACCTCCTCAGGGCAGGACCCCTTAACCCCAGCAGCCTGTGTTCCCCTTGGTCCCCACGATCTTCAGGCTGGTCAGTCACCCTCCACCCCTTCTCTCATGAATAATGGGGGACTTCACCAGTCACAGTGAGGGTATTCACACCACAGAAATGGGCAAAAGTGGCTTTTTATTTTATCTTTTTTTTTTTTTTTTTTTTTAGTCAGTTGTTAAACGTTTACCAGCACAGCACTGAAGCCCACGGGTAGACGGGCAGAACAGGATCTCATCCTAAACCTTTGATTCCCCTCTCTATCCTCCTCTAACACCAGAGAGCCCAGCTGGGGACTGCAGGACTTCCAAGGGGACAATGCCCTTTGCTATCGCTAGCAGAGTGCAGTGCACATATCACAGGATCACAGCACAGGGACGTGTGTTTCCCTCCCCACCCCACCAGTCATGTGGTCTCTGAAGCATCATCCCTCATGTCACAGAGCTGGCCAAGCCATAGTTTCCTCGTCTGCAAAAGGAAGCTATCGCTGGGAACAGCGAACGGGACAGGGCCTCGGACATTATGAAGCCCAGCATTCAACACCAGGCATTGTCGCTTGGGCAACAATCCACTTTTGCTTGGGCTTTACCAAGCTTTCCACAAGCTTTTCTTCCCCCTAATTCGCTTTGATCTTCACGAGCTCTCAGAAAACCCCCCAGGGAAGTGCACTTGAAGTCTGGAAACCCCAGGAACAAAGAGCTGCTGTTCACAGAAGTGCTTACAAGACTTGCCCAGCTCAGGACCCAAAATGTGAGCTAAACGATACTGTGAGAAATAACCCAAAGCTGGAAGCCACCTTCAAGCTTGTCACACATCCTCATTTTACAACTGGGGCAGCTGAGACTTGTTCAAGGCCACATATCAAAATACCGTAGAGCTGAGACCAGAAGCATCTAGTAACACATGTGGGAATTGGGAGAAATGTTCGCTTTCCATAACTTACCCACCCAACGTGTAACATGTTTCCGAGTCAAACTTTTCCTGAAGAGTCAATATTGCACAAATGACTTAAGCCATCCAGCACCCACTGGCATTACCCTGTGAGTCGAACTCTCTGGAATGGCCCATTTGACCTCTCCTTCGGTCCAATGCAAGAGTTGGAAAGCATTTCCCAGACCTCCTTGCAGCTAGAGTTCTGAATGCAAATTAGCTTGCACCAAAGAACACCTTTAGAAGACAGAGTGAAGGGGATGCCCTCTTCCTGCAGAGCTTGACAGTTGCTGCTGCAAACCAGGTCTCAGAGAGGCAGGGATTTCCAGCAGCTACCTACAGTGTCCATCTCCCAGCTCCCGGGCATCTTGATCTGCCTTCCTAATCCCTGGATTGTCGCTTCGGGCAGCCGTTCTCCAGGAGGAGCAGATGCTACAGCAACATCGTACTTCCGGCCCCACTCTGGGGGAAGTCTCAGAGGCAGGAGCTTCCCCAGTGGCCAGTTCTGTATTCTTCTCGGAGCTTTCCCAATGGCCCAGCCTAGAACCTGCTCTTTCGGCCTTTCCATCCATTTTGTAAACACCAAATTCCCTGAAGTAAGACTCTTTCTGTTAACAGATCTAGAGTGGTTTCTGTTTCCTGCAATGAGCTCTGACTGATACATCTGCCCTTAGGTTCTCAGATCTAGGCACTTTGTGTACTTTGTGAGTTCAGGGATTGGCTACCTGAAAAATCAATGAATCTCTATAAAACCATTCCTGGACTCTACGATCAGTCCCAACACATTGTCAGGGAGGCACTGGAGCGTCACCCTCCCTCCGTGGGCTTTCCTCTTCACGAGCATCGGGATCACATGATCTGGAGCTTTCTCTTGCACACACAAGCAAATCACATACACACTGGTACAGATGGACCCTCCACTAGGGAAAACTCCAGGGTCTCATACTAAAGTTCATTCCACCTTAGACTTCCAGAGGGAAGAACCCCCTGTAGACAGATTAATGGAGAACTGGGAGACAATTCTCCTTCTCCAAAATCCTGCAGCTCAGTTTTAAAACCAGGGTATTATGCAAAGTGAAATAAGTCAGAGGGAGAAGGTCAAATACCACATGATTTCCCTCATTAAGTAGTAGATAATAGCAACAATAAACAAACACATAGGGACAGAGATTGGATTGGTGGTTACCAGAGGGGAAGGGGGGAGGGAGGAGGGCGAAAGGGATAATTCGGCACAGGTGTGTGGTGATGGGCTGTAATTAGTATTTGGGTGGTGAACATGATGTAATCTATGCAGAAATAGAAGCATAATGATGTACACCTGAAATTTATACACTGTTATAAACCAATGTTACTGCAATAAACAAAAAATTAAAAAATAATAATAATAATTAAAAAAAAAAAACCAGGGCAAGACCAGAGTCTTCCATTCTCTGGTTCACAGAGCAAGTGCTGTCCTGAGTCTAGCCGTGACAGGTCCCCCCACAGGGCCATTACAGATCCCTAACCAGGTGGGGAAAGACTCCCTCCAGTGGCGTCAGCCTGGGCGATTGGCCTTTCTTCCTCTCTGGCCCCACCCACACGTACAAACGCCCTCCTGCCCAGTGTAAGTGAGAGCACCCTCAGGAAAAGCAAAATCACAGATTCTGTTGCCCTCTTCTAGTTTCATCCCAGTCATCTGATTCAAGGACTGATTCAGATCATCTTCCCATTTCTACTTCACGTCGTGTCGTCAGAGACAGGTGTCCGGTTGGTGAGCAGAATCAGAAACATACATTAGTGTCTAGAGCGGGGCGGGGAGGGATTTTCCTGAGAAGTTGGTTTCAGCACTGCCCTCTGGAAGTTGAGGCAGCAAGAATGTCTTAAACATCTAGTAAGTAAATGTCTGAAAGATGGGGGTACCCGACTCTCCAGCTCCCTGCCCCTGCCTCCGTTCTCTCCCACTCCTGGTGCTGACTTGGGCAAGCCCCACCTCTATCCCCTGCCCCCCAGATGCCAAGCACGAGGGTCTTCCCTCACACCCACCATCAGCCCACTCACCCATGGACTCAGCCACAGGAGCCCCATAAATGGCCATGCCCCCCCAGAGACAGAAGCCTCCCCAGACTGTCCCCTGAATCAACTCTCTGAGTGTGGCACATTGCATACTCGGCATTTCACTATGCTTTTGTTTGATTTTAATTAACTAAGTTTTTTTAATTGAAAATGTCACACATACACAAAAAAAGTCAGAGCATGAAAAGATATATAATGAAAAAGCAAGCTACTCTCCCCGCTCAGATCCCACATCCTATTCCCCAGAGACGTTACTGTCAAGAGCCCCCTGTGGACCCTTCCCACAAAGTCCCTTGCGTGCACAGGGCAAACACTGTTGGCTGGCAAATGTGACAGCTTTTTCAGACTCTCTTTCCTTGCTATAGTGACTGGAGAGCCAGATACTTGCTTTCCCAGCCTTCCCTGCAGCTAGGGATGGGGATGGGCGTGGGACTCTGTCCTAGACAATGAGATGTGGAAGTGAGTTGGCCCATGGTGGGAGGAGGAGGGACCAGATAGGCATCTATGAAGCTCTCAATTTCCAGATTTAAAGAAAAGACAGTTGTGTCTGGAACTGACCAGTCCCCTCCTTGTACTTGGATGTGATGTTTGCAGCTGCAGCAGCCATTTTGTGACCATGAGGAAATAAATGTAAAGATTAAAAAGCCAGCATGTTTCATGAAGGTGGCACACAAAAGAAGACCTTGGTAAGCAGCACTGCTTCCCTCCAGGTGTGGGATTACATGAAAAAAATAAACTCTTATTTTTTTAACCATTGTTAGCTGAGTTTTCTGTTCCTTGCAGGAGAACCCATCCTAATTCGTACAATATACAAGTATCATTTGTAGATTCACTTTTGTTCGAACGGTGCCTAGCATTCTCTGTGCTCTGCACTTGGGTTTTCTTACTCAGCAATGTGTCTTTGCAGGGTTTTCCATACTGATTCCTACAGGCCTATCTCATTCTTTTCAATATCCCCAGAGCATCTCACTCTGTATTGATATATATTACAGATAACCCTGATCCCCTGCTAATGAATATTTTCATTGTTTTAATTTTATCCTACTACAAACAAGACCTCCACAAACATCTTAGTAGATGCATCTTTATGCACAAGGGTGATAACATCTGGACAGTAGTTTCTGCAGTAATCCGTAGAAGAGGAAGGCCCCCAGACCTGTCCCCTTGGGTCCTGTCCTTGCTGCCACTCGCTCCCTTTACTAGACAATCTGAGACCCCTATGCTCTCTGGGGCCACCATCACCAAGGCTCACACTTGGGTTCCCTTTTCGTCCTCCAACCCCCTGCCCAGCCCTGAATCCTGGGACACCCACTACCTAGGCCAGAGCCCTGGGGTCCCCCTAACCTGTGGCCCAGTTTGGGTAAGTGGCCTTCAGCCTTCTTCCTCTGGGACTGAAACCTAGGCTTGCTCTAAGCAGGCCCTCCCTCCAGCCCATCCCCCTCCCTCCCTCACCCCTTGCCAGACCAGAGGAGCTGCTGGCACCTGGGTCTGCTCCCCCAGCCCTGCCCTGCCTCCAGAGCCCGCCCTCCCGACCTGCCCCTTTCCTGCTCTGGTGAGCTGGCCCACATGACTGACTGAGGCCCAGCTCCCACAGGAAGCGCAGAGAGTGGCCACACCCCACCTACTGCCAGGCTCTGGCCCCTGGTTTCAGCACCTGTAACCAACCTCGGAAATTCACACCAGAAACCCAACCTCACACCCCAACCCCAATCCCATTTGTCAGTAAAAGCTGACAAATGCCACTGCTGGGCAGAAAGGGACACACAGAGATGGAAGACCAGATATCTAAGAACATACAAAACATGGTGCATTGTTGTGTACCAGTGAAAACAAATGTATTTAACGTTCTATTAGATCGGACTGGTGTATGATCACCAGCCTGTGCCCAGCCAGCCAGGGCATGCTAAGAACTGAAACACATACGGGGGGGCTCAGCCCAGACATGCAGGTTACATTTTTAGGGTAAATTTTTGTCTTCTAGGGCAAAAACCCATCTTCTCTGTCTGACAGATTTGCAAAGCTGATTCTGATATGAGCCTGGGGCTGGCCACACGCCGGGCTGCTGAGGCCCCAAAGCCACACCTGCTGTCCCCTCTCCAGCTCTCTCCCCTAGTCACCCGTCCCACCAGCCAGCTGCACCTGGGCCAGAGAGGAACATCAGGAAGACAGGATGGTTCTTCTGAGACCATCTGGTCCAGTCTCCTGATTTTACTGATAGGGAAACTGAGGTTCAAAGAGATCAAAATGGTCATACAGTCACTTAGGGACAGAGCCAGGGACGGGAACGGCAGAGCTACTTATATGAGCACCCCCCATGTGCCAGGCACTGTCTACTCTCGTCTCTACCACTCTACCTTTGAGATATGCGGTGCTGTCTCCCTCTCAGAGATCAGAGACCGGAGGCTGGTGGAGGTTAAGGAATTTGCTCGAGGTGGCACAGCTGGTAAGGAGTAGAACTCGGGTACAAATTCTGCCGCCTGACTCTCCATCCGAGTCCCTTCACTATAGGTGACGCCACTCCTGGGACAAGAGTGAAAAGTGGGTAGGGGAGGGAGGGAGAGTGTGTTAACGAAAGGAATGAATGGTTATTATTAAACAATGAAAATGCAAATCAAGTGCCCAAAACAGAAGCCAGCAGGTGTGCAGTAAAGCTGGTGCCTTTCTTCTTAAGTGAGGAAGTACCTGAAAACCAAGAGGATGGGGCCACGTCCGAGGGACGCAGGAGCTCCTGCTGGCCAAAGTTGGGTCAATATGAGCCACAAAATAAGTGACGCAGCATTGGATTATAACCCAGAGTTTAAAATAAATGTCTATGAATCCACACCGATATAAATAAATGATTGAAAAAACAAAGGGGAGAAGAGACAATTCGCCCTTACGGAAGAATTCCAAATAATTTATGTGGATACTGCTCCCTCCAAGAGGTGGAGCAGAGCCACCCTCCCGCCGTGGTGCGGGCCGTGCTCTGTGACTCACCTCTGAGGGAACAGTGTGGAAGAAGGGGTGTGACTTCACAGCAGAGAGCTCTGACAGACATGGCCCCAGCCCGGCGCTGAGGGCGGCAGCAACAGTGATAAGTCAAGTGACAGCACGTGCACTGCATACGATGATGGAAATGGCACTTCGTCTCTGTGGTCTTCCTTCCAAAACCCATAAGCCCAGTCTAACCATGAGAAAAGCATCAGACAATCCCAGAGTGCGGGCATCCTACAAAACACCTGACGTCCAAACCACCAAGGTCATCCAAAACAACGAAAGTCACAGACCAGAGGAGG